GAATACGCCTACCAATGGCCAAGGATTGCCTCTATTTTAAATGCTTCATCTAAGTCAAAATGGTTCTCAACAATCTGAAGAGTGGGTACCTGAAAGAGTAGGTCGATGAAGCAAGTCAAGAAATGGATTATGAGAATTTGTTATATTACCATTAGGGTTATGTGATGCACCTACTACACTTGGATGATTAATGGAAGTTGTTCTCTCTCTAGTACATTTTCTATGACTTCCTTGATCTTGGTCTTATATTCCATCTGTACTTTAATGATGTTCTTTTGTACATCTTCATCTTTTCTGTTATAATCCTTCTTTATAGATCTGGTAGATAGAGCGATTGATTCGCAATCTGAGGGTTGCGGGCTCGAATTCCCGTCCCACCAAACATGCTCGCCCTTTCAGCCATGGGGGGGCATTATAATGTTTCGACCAGTCTCACTATTCGTTGGTAAAAGAGTAGCCCAAGAGATGGCAGTGGGTGGTGTTGACTAGCTGCCTTCCCTCTAGTCTATCACTGCTAAATTAGGAATGGCTAGTGCGGATTGCATTTGTGTAGCAATGCGCGAAATTCAAACTGAACCAATCCTATTAATTTTTCTGTCTCTTTCTGCTTGTTGTCTTTCCACTGTTTTATCACTTCCAGTCCCCCGGTGGATCAGCTGTAAGTTTAAGGATATACGACGCTAAAATCCGGGGTTCGAATCCCCGCAGTGGACAGAGTGCAGTTAGTCCACTGTGTATCTTTACATTAAGAAAACAACAACATCACTTCCAACAGTTTTTGTTCTCCATTTAAGCACGTGAAGATGAACTTTGGGGGTGATTAGCGTCCCAGACTATGGATCTGACTTACAGCAGTTCGCACCTCACTATAAAAAACAAAAACAAATTTGCAGTCTACATTTTAGGGCCTTGTGTGCATTATAAAGGTGATGGTCAAATCCCATTATCTGGTCTAACAATCCTAGCCCAAGAGTTAGTGGTGAGTGTTGTTGAATAGCTACCTACCCTCTAGTCTGTCACTAAAGATTTTAAGGCCAGCTAGTGCAGGCAGACCCCGTGAAGCTTTGCGCGAAACTCAAAAATAAATTTATTATTTTGAAAATAATACCACTTCTGACACCAATTTACGATAGACTTAACTTCCCAAATAAACGCATACAATACTTAATACTCACCGTGTATTTCTAGTACTTCCCTATAACAGCATAAACTCAAAATTTATACTGCTAAATAGCTAACACAATAATCAACCAATAATCTAATTTAGTCACACTTAACTTCCATTTTATGTCGTTTAAATCATTAGACACTGAAGAAAACTCCAGACGTCAAGCCACGAGTTCATTAAGTGACATCCAGACTGTCTTTAGCTAACATTAATACAAATATATATAAATATATTAAAAAACATCCTATAACAATATATGATCAGAAATGAAATATGCACTAAACTGTTCAGTAGTGAAAACTGCAATACAATTAACAAGCAGCTGTTAAGAAATCATTCTGTAAAATGGCTTAACAGAAAAGCTGTCGACTTTGAAAAGAAATGTTTTAGAACACTGTTCACGCACGTTTCTTTACAAGAAACTAACTTAGATACTCAAAACACATGTCCTCGGTAGATGTAACGCTAAACACAAGCAGTCAGCAGGCTCGATTACACCATGACCTCACCAAGATTACAGTGAAAGAATAGGAGAGACTAGGTTTCAGGATGCTCGTTTTCTATAAGTGATCACTAGTCTTAAAGGAAAGTATACAGATACGGTTTGTTGACATATTAAACTGTTATAATTTTTTTACTGATTTGCCTCAGTGTGTGTGTGTAACACTTCCTGTGGTGTTGTGGGCATAGTGTGTGTGTGTGAAGGGATATCTCTGTTTATATGAGAGACTCAGGATTTGTATTGCTACCCAGTGATTATTACTAATACTTTGACGTCAAGTGTAGGCTTAAGTATTGTAACCAACTATCAGAATAAGTTGGTATTTGCATTTCTTTCGGCCCGGCATGGCCAGGTGGTTAGGGCGCTCGACTCGCAATCTGCGGGTAGCGGGCTCGAATCCCCGTCACACCAAACATGCTCGCCCTTTCAGCCGTGGGAGCGTTGTAATGTGACGGTCAATCCCACTATTCGTTGGTAAAAGAGTACCCCAAGAGTTGGCGGTGGGTGGTGATGACTAGCTGTCTTCCCTCTAGTCTTACACTGCTAAATTAGGGACGCTAGCGCAGATAGCCCTCGTGTAGCTTTGCGCGGAATTCAAAAACAAACTAACAAAGCATTTCTTTCAGTGCAAATTTAGTTAGGGTTAATTATTGTAGCGAGGAAACTCCAAATCTCGCATTGAAAGGAAAACACGATAACTTTTGTAACCGCCGTCAGTCTTCCAAGCATTAAATTAAAAAAAAAAATGATTATGGAAACAAAACGTATTTTACGTTTTAGAGTAGGGTTGTATTCACGAAAAAAATAACTAAGATTCTGCATATGAAAAGATGGTGCTTCTTTAAGAAATATTGTTTCAAAGTTCATGTTTATATTGAGTTTACTGAGGTGTAAATACAAATGTTATGTGTTATACAAGTAAGCGTGTGTTTCTCTTTCTACGTGTTTCCGAGTTATAAATTTATAAAGACGTAAACTCGTCGTTAAAACAGAATCTCGATCTTTTAAACAATATTATGAAACTATTTGTGAGTAGGGGAACATCAAAGGTCCTTTTAGCCCATCCTGACATCCAACCTCCCTTAACGGAAAATAATGCTACAGCCTACAGCTTTTATATAAAATGTACATCTTACGTGTTTGTGCAAAATGAAAAATTCACGATGGAAGCATTCCATTGACGTTATAATATCCAACGTTTCTCTGTTACACAGTTGCGTTTCGAAAAGAAAGGTGGTACTTTTCCGTTATGCCACCGCAATTTGAATAACTTTTAAAAATATGTAAATATGTATTTTATTCATAGAGTAAATGCCCATAATAACTTTCTGGAAATATATTAATAGTAAAAACTTAACATTTGCGGGGGTTTAACGGAAAAGTACTGATTTTGAAGGTTGTTTTTTTTAGTAACAAGCATAATTTCATTCTCGTATGTTTTTTATTTGTTTAATCTTGTAACGAAATAATAAGTCCAAGTTCGTCGCCAGAAGTAGTTGGAATATTCTTATTCAACTGGAGGGATAACTTATTTGATGTTCTCCCAACTTTTATCAGCATTTTTCAGCTCGAGCTTACGTAGGCCCTCTAATTAATATCAGGCTTAAAATTATAATGGCAGTAAATAACATAACTTTAAATTATGTACACAGTTTTAGATAAAAGTTTCAAGTTGTTTATAATACTAACTGTTGTATATGCGCTCTCAGTTTTCACTAAGTTTGTCACCCTGACTTTTTAATGATGTCCACGTGCATGCAGAAATTAATTGAATAAGAGAAATACGCAGTTATTTTAACTTTTTTGTTGTTGTTCAACTAAATGCCAAATGGACAGTTATGGCTCAGAGTACTGAGAGTATTTGGAAGGAAGAATGGAATGGACAGGTATAGCTCAGAGTACTGAGAGTATTTGGAAGAAAGAATTGAATGGACAGGTATGGCTCAGAGTACTGAGAGTATTTGGAAGGAAGAATTGAATGGGCAGGTATAGCTCAGAGTACTGAGAGTGTTTGGAGGGAAGAACTGAATGGACAGATATAGCTCGGAGTACTGATAGTATTTGGAAGGAAGAATTGAATGGACAGGTATAGCTCGGAGTACTGAGAGTATTTGGAGGGAAGAATTGAGTGGACAGGTATAGCTGAAAGTACTGAGAGTATTTGGAAGGACGAACTGAATGGGCAAGTATGGCTCAGAGTACTGAGAGTATTTGGATGGAAGAATTGAATGCTTTTTATCAAATACACTTCTATTTATCTATCTCATGACATAGGTTACAATAATACAGAAAAAACATGTATTTCTGGCACTAGTATGTGATTAAATAGGGTTCGACGAACATAAAAACGTTAAATTTAAGTTAAGATGTCGAATTCATCAAGGTTGCCAGTTGTCGTTTGTAAATTATCAAATTGTTGGAAGTAGTACTGATATTAATGATTCAAAGATAGGTTACAATGAACATCACGATTCATTAGGTGAACAGTTTTGTGATGTAACTAGCTGACGTACCACTTTAATGCACATGTATAACATGGGTCACATTCCTACATCTATTATCCCAAATGATATTGGCGAGTACTGTTTCTAATATAATATGAAATCCGATCCAAGTTAGGCCTGACATTCGGTAACTTTATTTCAAGATTATGGACGGATTCGTTATTTGATGAAGATTGCTAATATTAGTGCATCAGTAACTAAGTTACAGCTCATTGATCAGCACTTTGTACTTAACATTTGAAGATAACCTCGGAAAATGAATGTTGTAGTAAAATTAAATTTCCATATACAAAATCCATATTTGTAGATATTCAAGGTTCTTAAAGCGCAGTATTGATGTACATTCTCAAACACTTGCAAGTAAATGGATACTTATTCCTAGATGCATTTAAAATGCCCTCTAGTGTACGTATTTAACGGAACTTTAAAGGTGTGATGCGGAAACTTTTTTTTATTGATGGTGTCCCCTCTTTCGAAACATCCTTATTGTTGTGCCCTTCCGCAGTTTGTTTAAAGTTCAGCACAAAGCTTCACAATAGGCTGTCTGTGCTCTGCCCATCGTTGTTGTTACTGTGTTGCTTAATAGCAGTAATATTTGTACGGCAATTTTTAAAATTTATTTATTTTTAATATTGTAATTTCAAATATAATTCATATACTCCTATAGTCATAGTTGAGCGCCCCCTATGCGCAACACGGCTTTAAAGCATCATTGAAACCTAATTTGTGAAGTTGGTTTTGTACTTGTAGTGTTAATATCCGTAGCAAATTTATGTTATAGTACGTTTTCACAAATGTTTCTGACCATATTCTTGTTTCTTGCTAGGGGCTGGAGAGTCAGGAAAAAGTACTATTGTAAAGCAGATGAAGTAAGTATGGACTATTCTAAACAAATTACACCACTTTCAAGGTTTTTGGGGCGTGATCATTTAATAGCCCCGCTATTTATTTTCTGTCATATTCTACAGAAATAAGCACGTTTCTCCCACGTGGTACCTCATTGGGTTATCGTGACAAAATTTATAAGAATTCCGTACATGTTTTAAACGATCTCTTTATACATTTCCAGACTATATTTTCTCACTAAATACGTTAACGATAATTTGTTTTTAGATAGGTTGGAAAACTTGTACGTAACAGACGCATGTTATCGAGTTTTGATTCACATGTCAAAGTACTGGTGCCTGGGTTGAGTCATCCGCAGAGTTTTTCTCTAAATAAACAATTTTTTTTTATAATCAAGTATAAGCTAGTCATTTATTTATTTTACCCTAAGGAAATACTACATTTTTTTCAGATTAACTGGAACTACTGTTTAATGAATTAAAATAGAAAGACTTAGTAGTATAAAATTAAGTGTAATTAAAATTTGATGACGAGGAACCCACTTTTAGATGATAAAGTTTGGAGACGGCTTATATTGGTAATGAAGGAAACTTTATTTATAAACAAGAGTATAAAAAATTATTAATTTAAAAAGGGGGAATAGGAATCCCTATTTTGACTATTCTAAATCTTACAACTTTTAGACATGAAGTCACAGTAGGGATTCGTAACTCGTGGAAATAATGTCAACACTACGTCTCAAACCTTAAGCTTGTTTGTTTACTGTTTTGCGATTGCATTTTCACTTTAAGCTACCTGTCTTATCTTTGTAATTTTTTGGAAGATCCCTATTTCCACTTTTTAAATTAACAATTTTAATAATATTTTTACTTTAGTTTTTTAGGTCCATCATGGCCATAAATCTGTATAATAGCAACACTGTCTTATTTGAAACAATTTAGTTTAATGAAATACATAG